ACCAGGATTCGATCCTGGGGGCTCCACCCTAATGACCTTATGTAACCCTCCTCACCTCCCACAGGCCCCACCTTTGATCATGATAGCTGGGTGAGTTTCCACCCTCTGGTACCTGGCAATGGGGGACACACTCAAGCCATAGCCAGACGGTAGCAGAACCCTTCTTACCAGATTCAGATAAAGACTAGAGGCCCAGGATCACAGAGCGAAGCCAGGGCTGAGTGTGTATGTCAGCCCTAGCCTCTCATGTGTGTCCACTGAATGTGACCCTTGGACTTGGGGGCCCCAGCTGCCTCTGTACTGTGGCCCACTTAAAATCTTTCTTCTCTTTGCACAGGGGTCTGGGCCATGGTGCATTTGGGGAGGTATATGAGGGCCAGGTGTCCGGAATGCCCAATGACCCGAGCCCCCTGCAGGTGGCTGTGAAGGTAAGAGGTGGCTCCCTATTGGACCTGACCTTGGCCTGTGATCTCTGTGGGCTACAGCTCTCACCTCACAGCCTCTTCCTTCTTCCCACCCTCCCCTTCTGTGCCCAGACGCTGCCGGAGGTGTGTTCGGAACAGGATGAACTGGACTTCCTCATGGAGGCCCTGATCATCAGGTAAAGCCACAGAGGGACCCCCAGCCTGCCTCCCCCTGCCTCCAACAACATTAGAGGCTTCTACAAACTTCTCCAAGGGAAAAGGCCCCCACATGTCCCTTCCTCCCAAGGGAAAACTTTCTAGTGCTATTGATGCTTCTTCCTAAGTGTACAAGCCCCAGGGGTTGTCTCAAAAATCATCTGTGTGGCCTGATAATCCGACTGCTACGACTCTGCCTGCAGCCGCATCCCTGGGGTCCTCCACTGGTTCTTATTTCCCCCAGTTCTTCTGAAGAAATAGAGCATGTGAGGTTTTGACCAGAGGAGATACAATCTCCCCCCAAGTGGTTCTTCTGGAACCAAAGCCCTTTTCCCACCCAGCTCATGGATCTACTATAAAGGAATCACACCCCTAATGTGATAGAAGAACACCCCCCCTGGGTCCGCGATGGCACAACTGAGTCTCAGGCCCCTGGACTCAGCCCCCTGAGGCTCTGGGCCTGGATGTCAGCTAGGATCTCAGCGCTTGGCTCCTGAGGCATCTGCTCTGGCAGCAGCTCCTCTGAAGGAGGCAGAAGTTTGAACTTGATCTGCTGGGGGCTCACAGTCTCCTGTGGCTTAGAGAAGCCTCTAAACATCCTGACAGATGGGGCGGCCTGGGACTTCCCTGTGGTGGATGGTGGCCAGGAATCAAGGCAGAGCAGTGAGAAGGAGGGACTGGTGGACTCGGGGGCCCCAGGAAGACACGCAGTAAGGGCTGTACATTGCCTTAAAATAACATTTACTTTCTGATTATACATGTAATACAGGATTATTGAATAAAATTGAAAAGTATGAGATCACTTGGAAGGAGAACCAATCTCACTGCTTGGCAATAGTGTAGTCACCCATTCTCACAAGTGTGTGTGTATGTGTGTGTGTGTATGTGTGCACGTGTGTCTCCGCCCATGTTGACTTCCCTAGCCCCACTGCCCTATGTATCCTACCAGGATCATGGGAACAAGAAAACCAAATCTCAAGGCCTCTTATCCCAACTCAGTCCCTTTCCTTCCCATGAGACCCCTATTCCTGGCTCTAGTTCACATGCTGTCACCTGACAGGTCTCATACAATCCTCTAAGAAGCCAGTCCTTCAATTTACTTTATGTTATTTTAATTTTTTTGTACTGGGGATTGAACCCAGAGGTACTTTACCACCAAGCCACATCCCCAGCACTCCCTCCTTTTATTCATTCATTCATTCATTCATTCATTTGGGGGCCAGGATCTTGCTAAGTTGCTTAGGGTCTTGCTAAATTTCCTAGGCTGACCTTGAATTTATAATCCTCCTGCCTGGGATTACAGGTGTCTGCCACTGCACCCAGCAGCTCCTTTTGCCTGACACCTTCCTTAGAGAACTCCACAGGAATTTGTTCATCTGAGAAAGACACTACCCTGCTCCCCACAACACAAACATGCATTCTCACCCCAGGGTCTGGGCAACATCCTCCCTCGCCAACAAAATGCTCTCCTGCAAACTAAATTCCGGGCAGGCTGGCCTCTTCTTCCCCCCTTCCCTGCAGGGGACCCTGCTGCCATCCCCTACAGGACAGTGCCTACGCGATGTGGCTGCTGAAAGCTTCTCTCTCAAGATTGTCCTAGACCCAGCCAGTTAAATTCGGTTGCACCCCTCTGCTCCACAGCAAATTCAACCACCAGAACATTGTGCGCTGTATCGGGGTGAGTCTTCAAGCCCTGCCACGATTTATCCTGCTGGAGCTCATGGCTGGAGGAGACCTCAAGTCCTTCCTGCGGGAGACGCGCCCTCGCCCGGTGAGTGAGAAGGTCTTCCATCTGGTGGTTGAGTGGAGGAGAGGAGCAGGATCAGGGGGAGCAAGAGTGGGCAGCCTGGGAAGCAGCATGCTGGACGGGGCCCTGGGAGTCAGCCTTGGGCTTGGACAGTAGGGTCTGGGTGGAGCGCAATGGCCAGATTGGGAACAAAGGCTGAGCCCAAGCCCAAGCCCTAGAAATTTGTGCAGGACTCCGCAGTGGATTTTGTAGGCTGGCTCCCTTCTTACGGCCTATGATGCTGGAACATCAACCCCAAGACAAACTCAGAGGGGGCCTTTGGTGCCAGCTGCATCACTAACACAACAGACTGGCCTGGGGCAGGCCATTCCCATCCATTTATTCCAAACCCAGTGACGTCACCTCTCATATAGGGAAAATAATAGCCAATCTCCTGTAGTAATAGTTTTACTCCAAAAAGAAAGCGCTGAAATATCTAGGAAGGTGCTGCATGTCACAGATAAGGGGAGAGAGCTTGGGGTGTAAAGAACCTGGAGGGGTCCAGGAAGGCCCAGCTCCAGCCCTGTGTGACCGTCGGATGCCATACGTCCACCAGACGCCCCTGGCATAGGACAGTCAACACAGGTGAAACCCGAGGGTCACACTCGCCCGGCTCAGAGGTCTGAAATGATAAAATGCAGCACTGCCCCTGTCCCCGAGTGAAGCTCCTGTCTCTGCTGGGCCTCCAAGAGGCGCTGGTCACTCCTAGCTGGAGCACAGCACATACAGGGTTAGGATCTGGGCTTCCTCAAGGAGCCAGCACAAGAAAGACTAGCACCATGAGAGCAGAGCCACCCTCTCCACCCCAGGGAAGCAGAGAAAGACTGGCCTCCACGCTGCTGCAGAAAACCCTGAGTGGCCACGCGGCTCACAGGGACTTAAAGTGGGTGGCAGAAACCCTGGGGGTCACAGTGCTTCACATCCCATCAGGTTCATTTTAAATACCTCTGCCTGAGGAACCTGGGTACTGTCTCTACAGGCCCCTGGGGGACCCATGGGGCATCCAAGAAGGATCCAATCTTAGTACTGGAAAAGATGGGGTGCATGCAGGAGAAAGAGGGGGTGGGGAGGACCAACCCATCTCCTAGGAGCCCTCCTCAGCACGACCGTCTTCATCACGGCTTCCACCCCATGAAGGGGACAGCGCAGGTCTCACCCCCATCTTACAGATGAGAACACTGTGTCCCAGAGAGGTTGTTGCCTCCCAAGGCCACCCAGGAAGTAGAAAAGCTGGAACGAGAGCTCAGGGCTGGGACTCCAGGCTCGGGGCTCTCTCTCTCCAGCCCCTCATGCTGTTTATCTGAATGGTCCTCTGGGAAGCCGTGAGAGGCAACCCTGCCGGCCATCTGGGGTCTCTGCCAAGGTGCCAGCTTCTCTGGCTTGCCACCACCACCCAGCCAGACAGAGCCCTCAGTCCTCACGCCCTGAGATTCTCAACAGGGCTGCTGGCAGAGGTCTCATGGGGACGAGTGGCATCACACTTTGGGAAGAGGCCCAGGTCTGGTTTTCCTAGTGGGATGTGACTGAGATTAAGAAAGCACAGAGAGGGGAGAGACCTCCTTGGAGGGGGAGGCTGGGAACCCATCACTTCTCAAGTCTGAGGACCTTGGGGTGGAAGGGGCAGGAGCGGGGAGAGGGGCTTTTCTATCTCCTACAAACAAAGGTGGCTCTCTCCTTGGAGGATACGGATGGTTTAGGATTTAAACATTTAAACAGGATCCAAAGAACAAAGCACCAGCAAGGAAAGGCACCCCCCCAGAGCATTACCCTCAGGCAGGTCAGAGCAGGGACCCACTGCCCAGTTCCAACCTCCAGCAGCAGGCACTGCCCGGAGGATGCCTGTGATGGGGATGACTCCACTCTTGAGAGAGCAGTTTCTGAGGGTCACCAAACCCACTGCTTTGTTATTACTGGTGCATTATAATGCATCAGGCTTCACCTGCTGCAGCTCAGCCCTCCAAAGCAGCATGGGCTAGTATGTTTGTGACAACCCTTTCTCCAGGGGGTCAGGGGATTTGTTGGGCTCCCAAGGGACTGCAAGTGGCAACTTAGAAAGATGAGCATTAGGGAGAAAGGAACATCATTTCTAGGGGGCTGAAGGGGCTAATAACAGTACCTCCTCCACAGAAGCAAGGTGGCCAGGGGACATTGGGGCAGAGAAACACATTCCCTGGAGAGGGGGTGGGTGGAGCTGCACCCCCAGGTTCTTGAACTGACTGGCTTGAAGCCCTGAATTCCACAGGATTCACATGTGTGACTCACTCTGAGACCCTCGGGGGGTTCCTGATGGTCTCTGTGTGCAGGGACCAAGCTTGAGGGCAGACTCAGACAAGGGCACTGGCCCCGGGGCTCTGCAGTTCCACAGAACTTATATCAGGATCAGAGACCCTTAGAAATGGTCGAAGGGGCTCTGACCTCAGATACGAGTGTAGACATGGAGTGACAGATGTACAAACATGATGGACAGACCAGCCATGTCTGCCATGGAAATGAAATTAACAGTACAGATGAAAACGTTGCTTGAACCTATGTCCCCACCTCTCCAAGAACAAAGGTTTCTATTTAATGTCAAAAAACTTTGTGCAGAACTAATATTCATTCAGCAAATATTTATTGAGGCTTTACTATATGCCAGGTACAGGTAATAACTGTCTTTTATTATCCATTGATTCTGTGATGACAAAGGCCAAGAGAAAGTTAGTGATTTTTTTAAAATATATACCAGCAGGGATTGAAGCCAGGGTTACTTAACCACTGAGCCACACCCCCAGCCCCTTTTTTTATGTTTTATTTTAAGTTGCCCAGAATGGCCTTGAACTTACAATTCTGCCTCAGCCTCCCATGTCACTGGGATTCCGGCCTGTGCTATGCAACCCAGCCCAGTGAATCTCCTTATTGAAGGTGTAGGTTGTCAACCACAATGGGGTCTGAATCTTTTGGGATCATGGTAACACTTACAGGTAATGGCTCCATACAAGTCGCTCAGTGCACAGCTGACTTCTTGGGTCCTACTGTTGGGGGGTGAGAACTTCTGATAGGGACCATGCTCAGGTTTAAATCTTTGGCTCTGGCTTGGACAATATCAATGCTGGCTCCAAGCAAGCCAGGTCCTCTGGTGCCAAGGAAGAGTCGGTCCCCATCAGGAGGCAGGAATCATGAGGGCCCAGGAGCATAAACTTCTCATCAGCTTTAAAACTTGCTTTGTATCTTTGGGGTTCCCTGTCTACATTCTTTGCTGCTTTTGTCTCCTCCATTCATCTTTATATGTGCCAATTTTAAAATATACCCCATTCTGTTTTCACTTGGTAGATTTCCTTCCCCATGTCTTGTGTAGTCCCCGCAGTGCTCAGGCCCCGGGCATCGGAGACATCAGTGATCCTGGATCCTGAGTGACAGAGGCTCTGCTTCCTCCAGGCTCTCCCTCATCTGGGACCAGGTCCTCCTTTCGTGGGAACAGAAGCATTCTCCTGAGGAGAGAAAAGATAGTTCTAATCCTGTAGTGAGATGGAGGGCTATTTCATGGAGATACGCTGCTTTTCTTGTCCCCAGGAGGTCGGGCTGTCTCTCACAGTGCCCCATACATCAGGCCCCAGTGAAGACCCCGGAGGAGCCAAACCCTGGAGGGCTCCTGAGCCTCCCCGCTGCCACCTAGAGAACTGCAGGCCCCACGAGGAGTCCCTCTGCGCCTCTGGGTGGCCCTCCTGGCAATCCACAGCACCAGGCCTTGTCAGAGATGGGGAACCTGCTCAGAAATAGGCTGAGCAAAGGGCCCCAGATCTTATGGCTACTAAGGGATAACAGGCAGGGTGAAGCCCAGGTCAGCTTGACTGACCACTGCTATATGATGTTCTGTGTTTGTGTGCAGTGTTGTAGTCTATGTTCAAGGTATCGTGCTCTGTGTTCACATATCCTCCATCCATCCTTCAGCAGTCTTTTTTAAGAAGCTCAATTTTAACTACTTAAATCCTGCTGCCCCCAATTCAGATTCTTAAAGCCCAGCTCTGGGAAGTTTGGGTTCTACCTTAATCCTCTGTGCCCTGGAGTGATCACTTAACCTCTCTGAGCCCTTGGCATCCTCACCTTTAATAAGGAGCTAGCCTTCTCTACATACCACACTGTCCATTGCATCAAAGGGGAGCTTCTCCACAGACTTGCATGCAAGGCAGCAGCAGAGGATCTGCCCTCCTACATTGTCTGCCCCATGAAGCAGAGCCTAGAGAAGCAGGACCCTCTCCTGCCTCCTCCAGACCAAGTCACAGCTGTGTGGAGCCCTGGGAGGCCTGACCAGGGGCAAAGAAAGCCTCTTCAGGCAGACCTGGGTGACACTACTACTGTCTGGTAGGTGACTTCCCTCTGGGTTCCTCAGAACTAAAGAGCACGGTTCTTGTCCTACCCTTGAGCATTCAGTGAAGCCAAAGGTAAAAGGTCTCTGAGTTTCTTAGGAGGAACAAAATAGAACAGCGAGCAGAAATTTCCTGTAGGGAGTTTGCCCATATGACCCAGAGTCACCAGCTTCTACCTCTCTGGGGCTGAAACAATCCAACACAGTGCTAAAAGGGTGTATTAGTCAGCTTCCTGTTACTATAATGAAACACCTAAGGCAATTAACTTACATAGAGAAAATGGTCATTTTTGGATCATGGTTCTGGAGGTTCTAGTCCAAGGTCAGGTGGTCCGATTGCTTTGGGTCTCTGAGACAGGCATCATGGAAGTGCATGGTAGAGCAAACCACTTATATCCTGAGCCAGGAAACAGAAATAGACTGGGGACTGGGTTCCACAACCCTCTTCAGGGGCACACTTAGTGACCTAAGGACATCCCTCTAGGCCCACTCTGTTTCCAATACCACACCCTGTTGACCAAGCCTTTACCACATGGACCTTTGGCAGACACTCATCCAAACCACACCAGGGGATTTGATTTGATGGCCCACCTACGCTTCTTGCATAGATCATTGAAACACAACCTCTGGGCAAATCCTAGTCCACAGAACCATAATCAGCCAACTGGCCACCAATACTCACTGAGCACCTGGAATCCGCCCAGCAACGTGGGATGGGAATCTTGTCTCACAACCCTCAAAGCATCCTACTTGGGGACATGGTAAAATAAGCACAGGATAATAAGTGAAGTAGATAGGACCCTGCTCAACAGTCTGCTGCTGCAGGCCCTCGGGGCTGGGGCATTAAAAGAGGACAAGACAGGGGCTGGGGTGGGGCTCAGTGGTAGTGCACTTGCCTGGCATGTGTGAGGCCCTGGGCTCAACTCTCAGCACCACATATAAATAAATTAAATAAAAGTCTGTCAATAACTAAAAAAAAAAAAAAGAGAGAGAGAGACTAAGATAGATGTCACCGACAGAAGAGTCTTCACATCCCTCAAGTGGGCTAAGGGGTCAAGAGGGACATGTCCCAAAGCGTGTGCTATTTCTTTTTGCATGAAAAAGATTTTGTACAGAGCAGCCTGAGGTGGCGGCCCTTAATTGGCCACCCTTAGCCAGGCACGGAGGCGCACTTGTAATCCCAGCAGCTCAGGAGGTTGAGGCAGGAGGATCCCAAGTTCAAAGCCAGACTCAACAACTTAGTGAGTGTTTATCTCAAAATAGAAAATAAAAAGGACTGAGGATGTGGATTATTAGTTAAGAGCCCCTGGGTTCAATTCCTGATACCAATAGTAATCATCATCATCATCAATTGCCCAGCCTTTTCTAAAAGCTTTTCTTTTTAGAATCACTTTAGATCTAGGTCTTCTTGAAGTTTTTAAAAATATTTTAAGACATTTAGATAGAGCATTTATTCCAGAGGAATAAAATGTTATTTCCCTGGTCAGTTTCCTTTCAGGCTTGTTGATAAACTTGGGGTACTCAAATGTTTCTAAGGCTTAAGATAGGATGTGCAGAACAAGGTAAAAAGGAACAGACAGGGGCCACGGGCTGGAGTCCTGCATCCTGAGCATCCGAGGCTGGCCCCAGGTTAGAATCACCGGGGGAGCTTGCACATGGACTGAGCTGAGCCCCCCGACGGAGGTGGGAGCCTGGGCTGGTTGGGGCCAGGCCTCTGTATTTTTAAAGAGCTTCCAGCTGATTTCTAGGGTGTGGCCAAGACAGAGGCCCCTGTGGAGCAGCCCGTCTGCAGCCAGCCTCCAGGCAAGCAGAAGCCAGTTTCCATCTTCTCTGTCCCCCAAGAGGTCCATCAGTGGATCACTTCTGTCTCCTCACAGAATCAGCCCTCCTCCCTGGCCATGCTGGACCTTCTGCATGTAGCTCGGGACATTGCCTGTGGCTGTCAGTATCTAGAGGAAAACCACTTCATCCACCGGTGAGTCAGACGCCTCGCTCTTCCTGCCACCTCGGCACACTTCCCCACGCTCTCCAGGGCCAGGTCTCTCTCTTCAGAGTGGAAGAGCGGCCTCTCTCCAGAGCAGTCTGGACGGTTTGGCTGTTTGTACTGAGAGCAACTGGCTCAGGGCCTCCCCTGCCCGTGTGTGAAATGGGCATGGTGCAGGCCCCCTGGCCTGTAGGGTATTCTGAGCCTCCTGTGGGGACTCCTGCATCTTGAATGTTCAAGTCCTAGATCACCTATGGTTGCCCCATGTAGAAAACTGGGCTCCTTAGGGGGAAGTAAAAGGAGTTCACATTTTCACATATGACAACAGATTGCACTAAAGCAAGGACCTCAGATTGGTTGGTTTGTTTTGGTTTTGTTTTGATTTGTTTTGTTTTTTTCTATCTAGAGATATATTTGGTAGGGTGTTAATGATACCAAAAACAAAAAAAAAGGCACTGTACACTTTAAAAACAAACCTTACACTGAGACATTTCAGTTTTTTTCTTTAAAAGGAGTTAAATGCTCTATGGACAAGGAAAACCCTGCACCAGAACCAACTTATTCCCATCCTCTTCTTCTTCCTCCTCTTCCTCCTCCTCTTCATTTTCCTCCTCTTACCTCTCACTTGCTTCCCTCAGCCCCGGCACCCCCTCTCTTGCTCCTCCGGGCCCTCCTGTAGCCCAGTGAGCACCACTGTCCTCCCATATTTGCCCTTCAGCTTCTCAGTCTTCTCAGAGGCTTCCTCGGCAGCAGCCCTAGTTCACATCTCTCTCAGCTTCTTTACCACGTTACCAAATCCTTCCATTTGGGGGCAATACTCAGAACAGGACAGGAATAGGGCCAGTGGAGGTCTCTCGAGTGCATTAAGATCCTTGATCTCCTTTTTGGATTCCCCTGCAGGAGGGATTGAGGTTTTCATTTCCCTTTCATAATGGTCCTTGTCCACCTTTGCCATGTTTTCAAATTTCTCTGTCTCTTTAGCAGACAAGGTCTTTCGGCTCTCTGAGCACTTCATAGAAATTCTGAGAAGCTAACTGATGCATCTGGGAGTTTCTTCTTGTGCTCCTCCCTGCAAGTTTGCACAAAGAATGTGTCTGATGACATTTTGTCTCTTGGTTCCTTAGGATGTCCTATGCCCACGTTGACCTGTTTTTTTTTTTTTTTTTTTTTTTGGTCAGTGGGATACAGCTGCCCACTAAGCTCTAACTTGCTCCAGCGCTGTCTCTGTGGAGCTCAGTGTATGGACCTCCATACGTGTACACCTCTGAATTCAGAGGAACCCCTTCACTACAGCCACTGGCTCCCCTCTTTTTTGGTTTCATTAAATCTGTTTTCTTTGGCCATGGCATACAGCAATTTCAAGAATGGTGTGTCACCCTACCAATTCTTGGTGTCTTCTATAATATTACAATACCTTATCAAGTTCAAGATCATTTTTTAAGTAACCATTCCATATGCATCAGTGCAAAAACCCTTCTGGAGCCATACATACCATTTCTAGTCCAGTTTGCTCTATTTCTCTTTAGAATTGATGGCTCTCTATACAATAGTTGTTTTTTTTTTCTTTTTTGATGTCATTCCTGTTATGCTTTTGTGATTTTATTGGGTGATTTTATGAACCAATGCTCCTCAAATTTCAACTTAAACCTTAGGGATCAGGTCAGTGGCATTAATAACATTCATTTCCCAACCCTGCCGTTATTCTGGATCCTAAGCCATGATCCATGATCTGGATCATTTTTTTTAATACATCTTAACATCCAGTTGTTTACTTTCCAAGTTCTTTCTCAACCAAGGTTCAGAACACTCGTGAAGTCAACTGAAAATATAAAACCCACCTGTGCTGCCTAAAGTACTTCTTGTGTTTTCTGCATAGAACTTAAAAATTATTAGGGACCCTTTCCAGACTTCTGGCTGCAGCTTTGATGCCCACGTGCAGGTCACTGGGTGAGCAGTGGGAGATTTGAAGTGGACAGTCTCGGAAGGCTTCTGATTCTGCCTCAGAGGCATACTGCAGGAAAGGGAGCCACAGGGAACCTGATGACAAAGAAGCCAGCCTCGTGACCTGAAAGAAGTGACGCTCCAGCCATGGAGCTTAGCAAAGCCTGGAGGCGAAACCATGGCGACTTCTTTTAAAACTA